GGACCTGCAGTAAAATGTTGAATAAAATTTATGAGGAAAGACATCTTTACCTTATTCCTGATCTTGGGGAAAAAGTGCTTAGTCTTTTATCTTAAGCACAATGTTAACTGCAGTGTTTTCCATAGATTCCTTTTATTAGATCGAGAACATTTCCTTCAACTCCTACTATGCTAAGAATTTCTATCATGAACAGGTTTCACACATTGTCAAAGTGTTCATTCACTGGGATAACTATATACTTTTTCTCTTATATTCTGTTAGTATGGTGTATTGTATTTGCAAGTATTAAACCTACCTTACATTCTTAAAACAAATCAAACTTGATCATAATATATTATCCTCTTTGTCGCCAAAATATTGTCAAGTTCTATTTCCTGGTGTGCTGTTAAAGGCTTTTTGACCTGTGTTAATGAGGATTTTTTTTTTTTTTGTAATGTCTTTGTCTGGTTTTGCTATCAGGGTTATGTTGTCCTCATAAAACGACGTAAAAATAGTTTCTTCTTCCTGTTTTCTGAAAGCATTTATGTAGGAGCAGCATTATTTCTTCCTTGCAGGTCTAATAAAATTTAACAGAGGAGCTTTGAAACTGAATTTTCTTTTGTGATAGGTGTTTATGAATTAAAACTCTTTAATAGATGTGGAATATTTGAAACTTCTGTTTCTTCTATCAGTTTTAATAATTTGTGTATTTTAAGAAATAGGTCTTGATATTGGTAAAAAACTCTTTACAATATTCCTTTGTTATCTTTTTAATGTTGGTAGTGTTTATAGTGTTTTCATTCTTCATATTGCTAGTAAGTGATTCCTCTTTCTTTCTTGACTAGTGTAATTAGGAGTTTATGAATTATATTAATATTTTCAAGGAACCAATCTTTTGTTTCCTTGGTTTTTCTCTGTTGTTTATCCATTTTCTTTTTCATTTATTTCCACTCTTTCTATTATTGCCTTTTTTCTGAATACTTTAGATATAATTTGCTATTATTTTTCTAGTTTCCTATAGTGGAAATTTAGGTCCACGCTTTTAAATCTTTCTTTTATGTTATTATAAATACTTAAAAGCTATAAATTTCCTCCTATACTATGCTGCCATAAAACCAAATGAGATATTATTTTTCACAGCACCACAGACGACAGAGGGAGACTCCATCTCTAAAACAAACAAACAAACAAACAAAACTGCTTTAGCTGCATCCCACAAATTTTGATGGGTTATGATCTCTTTTTGTTTATCTTTTTGTTCAGTTTCAATTATTTTCTGATGTCCCTTATGTTTCCTTTTTTGACCTATGCATTATTTTGAAGAGTGTTGTTTGATTTCAAAATATTTGTGGATTTTCCAGAGTTTTTGGTAATTGACTTCTAGTTTAATTCTTTGTGGCCAGAGAAATACCCTGTAAGATTTTAATTTAAAAAAAATTCATTGAGACTTTTTTCGTGCCCCAACACACATACCTACTGTTAGAACTATTTCATGCCTACTTGAATATAATGCATATTTTGAAGTTGTTGGATACAGTGTTCTATAAACATGAAGTCGATTTCACTGATAGGCTAGACTGATTTTTCTGCCTATGTGCCTTTATTAGTCTTCATCTCTAATCGTGAATTTATCCATTTCACAATGAGTGTTGTCATTTTTGCTTCAAGTATTTTGAAACACTGTCATTAGGAGCACACAGATTTAGGATTGTTATGTCTTCTTAGTAAACTGACCTATTGATTAACATAAAATATCTTTCTTCATGTTTGGAAAAATTTCTTGTCCTAACATCTACTTAGTCTCATATCAATATAGGCACTCCAGCTTTCTTACGATTTGTAGTTGTATTATTTTTATTATTTTATATTTGACTTGTTTATGTCGTTATATATAAAATGTATCTTTAGTGAAAAAACATAAAGTTGTGTCTTTCTTTTCCATCTAGTCTGTTAAATTCTGTTTTTCATTTGCAGTGCTGAACCCATTTACATTCTATGTAAAATTGGCATGCTTCGGTTTAAGCCTACCACCTTGATATTTGTTTCTATTTGTTTCTTTCCTTCTCTTTTTTGTCCTTCTTTGGATAAAATGAGTAATTTTTTCAGATTTTTTTTTTTTAGTATTCTACCTTTTATTCTGTATTGGTTTATTACCTACATCTCAGTGTTTTATTTATTAATTTCCATGTGTATGTATGTAGACATATATATATAAGTGTGTGTGTGCATATATATATTTATTTATTGAAGTTCCTGTTCTTATATTTACAGTACACATGTCTAATTTATCATTGTATACCTTCAAATACTATTTAAAAACTTGATGTAAATGTAAGACCTTTAGCACGGTTTATTTCCGTTATCCCCTTCGGCTATTTGTTATTATTGCCATATGTTTCACTTCTAAACCTATGATAATACTGAAATATGCTGTTATGAATTTTAAGCCTTAAATTACATTAAAAACAATAAAAGTATTTTATTTATATCTACCTATAGAATCACACTCTTCATTCCTTTATGCGTAACTGAGTTTATATCTAATGTCACTTTCCTTCAGCCTGAAACATTTCAACAAAAATCCCAAAAGGCAAGCCCGAAGAAAAAATAACCGAAGTTGCAATTGGCCCAAAATTGGGGTGGTGGCAATTCCCTAAATGGTAAAGAAGAATTTAAACGAAAAAGGAAATCCAAAGTGAAAATTTTTTTTTTCTTTCAGCCTTTTAATGACATCATTACTTTACCTTTTAGTTTGCATTTCTTTACAAAGACTTTGGATATTCTTATTGTTTTTCTTATATAATGTGTATTTTCGTTGTTTAACTCTTCCTCTTCTGGTGCTTTTAAAATTTTCTTTGTATCATGGGTTTTAGCAATTTGATTATGATGTGTCTTGGTTACAGTGTGTGTGTCTTTGGCTATCCTGCTTACAGTTTAGTGAACTTCAAAAAATTTGAAAAACTTCCATCATTATTTCTCCATATATTTTCTGTTCCTGTCTCTTCTCTCCTGCTGCTGCTTTAGTCACATGTATATTAGACTGCATGATACCACACCACAAGTCACTGAAAATTTGTTCCATTTTGTTTTCAGCTTTGTTTCCTCTTGTCCTTGTGTTGGATAGTTTATATTGTTCTGTGTTAAAGTTTCTCATCATTTTTTTCTGCACTGTTTAGTCTGTTATTAAGCCATCTAGCAATATAACTAGGAAATTTAGATACTGTATTTTCACATTCTAGATTTTTAGATACTGTACTTTCAAATTCTAGATACTGTATTTTCAAATTCTAGAATTTCTATTTGTTTCTTTTCTTATAGCCTCTATTTCTTCTCTTTCTCCTTCTCCTTCTTCTTTTTGACAAGATCTCACTCTACTGCCCAGGCTGGAGTGCAGTGTCATGATCTTGGCTCACAACAGACTCAACCTCCTGGTTCAGATGATCCTGGTTCAGCCTCCCAAGTGGCTGGGACTACAGGTCACAGGTGCACACCACTTTGCCTGGCTAATTTATTTTTTTGTAGAGATGAGGTTTCATCTGTTGCCCAGGTTGGTGTTGAACTCCTGGGCTCAAGCAATTCACCCACCTCAGTCTCCCAAAGTGCTAGTATTACAGGTGTAAGTCATGGCGCCCGGCCTACTTCTTTCTTGAGATTCTTTATGTTTCCCCTACATTATTCTTTCCCTTTATACTCGTGAACATTGTGATCGGTAATGCTATGTGTCAAATTTTTTTTTTTTTTTTTTTTTGAGATGGAGTCTCTGTTGCACAGGCTAGAGTGCAGAGGTATGATCTCAGCTCACTGCATCCTCCTTTTCCCAGGTTCAAGGGATTCTCCTGCCTCAGACTCCTGAGTAGCTGGGATGACAGGCACATGCCACCACACCTGGCTAATTTTTTTGTATTTTCATTGGAGATGGGGTTTCACCATGTTGGCCAGGCTGGTCTTGAACTCCTGGCCTCAAGTGATCTGCCTGCCTCAGTCACCCAAAGTGCTGGGATTACAGGCATGAGCCACCACACATGGCCATGTCAATTTGACTCAGCCAAAGAATGCCCAGTTGACTGGTAAAACATTTTTGTACGTGTCTGTCAGTGTATTTCTGAAAGATATTAGCATTTGAATCAGTCAACTGAATAAAGAAGATTGACATCATAATACAGTTGGGCATCGCTCAGTCTGTTGAGAGCCTGAATAGAAAGTCAGAGGAAGGGTGAATTTGCTCTTTATTTCTGAGCTGGGACATCCATCTTCTCCTGCCCTTAGACACTGAAGCGCCTGGTTCTTCAGCTTTTGGACTCTGGCTGGGACTTACACTGTTGGTTCCCCTGGTTCTCAGGCCTTCAAGTTTGGACTGAAACTAGACCATCAGGCTTTCACGGGGCTGCAGCTTGCAGATGGCAGATTGTAGGGCTTCTCAGCCTTCCTAATCATGTGAGCCAATCCATCATGATAAATCTCTATGCTGTTGGTTCTGTTTCTCTGGGGAATCCTGAATACAAACATATTTATAGTGACTCTTTTAAATTCTTCTTTTGCTAATTTTATTATCTCTGTCATTTTGTTGGAGTCTGTTTCCATGGACTGAATATTCTCCTAGATATGGACCACATATTTCTGGTTCTTCAAATGTCTAGTAATTTTTGGTTGGATATTGGATTGTATGGATACTAAATTTTGAGTGTCTAAATTTCCTAGTCATTCTTAACAAAATCTTAATAAAGTGTTGAATTTTGTCTTATTGGGCAGTTAACTTACTTTCAGATCAGTACAATACTTTCAACCCTTCTTTTAAACTCCGTTAGGGGTCTAGAATAACCTTGACTCTAGGGAAGCCCTTGTCAAATACTTTTGTCTTGTGGCCCTTCAAGTGCATAATATTTATCTATATTTAAAATATTATAAATTAAAAGTAAAAATTGTAAATGTTTATTAAGTGATTTAAAATGGCAATGATAAACCCCATTTCACATAAAAATGTTTTTATGAAAAGCAACTATATCATCAAAAAATTTGTGAGATTAGTTGCAATGCAGAATGTGAAACCATATCAATAAACTTTTCATACTATGTCATGTTAAAATACATTGGTCTATCTTGAATCCAGCATAAATATCTAATTTATACATAATTTTGTAACGTCATGTTACAAAAACATCATGACCCCAAACTGTCATCTCAGTCTCCCCAACTGAGCTGGATTGTGCTGTTCTAGATCCTTCTCCCTAGTTTACATTATAAAAAAGTGTGTCCAGGTGGAAAGCCAATGGAATCCTGCACTGCTTCTTGTAACAGTGCTTGGGGATAATTATTTCATATATTTTTTTGTCTACTATTATAGTTGCTTCTAGTGGGAGGGCTTCTCCCATCTTCTCCAGAGTCAATATATTTTTTAGTAAGAGATATGGATACCTACAGAGAAGTGAGAAAATATTTCTTCCCACCTCCACCATGGGTTCTCTTCTTTTAAAAGAACAAATCCCTAGAATGCAGCGCTCTACAGTTTACAAAAGGCCTTTTGTAATTATTTTCTTATTCTGTTTCTATCACGTGGTTTCCATTTTGAGCCTTAGAGTGCAGTGGCAGGCTGAGGTCACAGAGCTAGGTCAGATCTGCGGTATGGAGTGGAGGAAGCTAGTTGTGTTTCACTGCTCAAGAATAGATCTTTCCTATGCTCTCACCAAAATAAGTTTGTAGTTCAGCCTTCTTTATAAACGGCTGAATAGGGAGGGAAGGGCAAAGTTGACAAGAATCGATTGAGCTCTGCCCCAAGCCAGTTGCAGTGCTGGGCCCAATGATACAGAGATGAAGAAGATAAATATGACCAGGATCTCAGGTTGGTGGAGCACTGGTGAAATAATTTTGATTTATATAGATTTATTTACTCAATCGACACGTTTACATTTGGACTAGAGAACTGTTTCCTCATCAGTAAAAAGGGCATTAATAATCTCTTATTCCAGCGAGATGCTGGGGTTGGCTTGTACTGGAATGTCAGAGCTGATTATTAAATTTTCAGAAAATGTTCGGGTCAATTATTAAGCACAGTCATAATTAAGGACTAAATTATACAAATTTATCATCAAATCAATCACATTAAAACAAAGGTAATAAATCCTCAAGACTCAAAACTTTCTAATTATTTTACATGTACCTATATTATTTGGTTTATTTACATCTATTATATCTGTATAGTAGAAATATTGTGTAACAGGGAGCAGCTGTGCATCTTTTCTTGCCTCCATGTTCAGTGACATCAAGTCAGCAGCTTGAAATCAGTGGTGATGGAAATATTTACACCATGGAAATAGGCAAATCAGGGCTTAATTTATTGTTATTTTAATTCTCTAGACTTAAGCATGTGTTAGAAATGATGTTAATGATGCATATTAACCATAAAATTGTGCAGTGTCTGCAAATAACAACTTGAGCAAATATTATTTTAGCATTTCATCGCTATTATCTAAGCTAGCAAAGAATTCACTCATATCATTAATAAATAAGTGAAGTTCCAGCATTTCACATTTTCACTTTCACCTTACTCACTAATGAAAACAAAATATCAACAAATATTTATGTTGGAATTATCCTTACCTGTCCTTCACAACCACAGTTTGGCTATAGATATAATTATTTGACCAAAAAACAACAAAATATTCTTTAAGAATCGAGGGGCTATATGGAATTTACAAAAAGGAGTATTGAATATTTAAGTGGGCTTTGTGTCCTTTATATCAACCACAGTTACAATAAATGTATGTATGCAAATATATGCATGTACTATCTTCCTCCCTTCCCCCAAGAACCAGTTGTTAAACATTTACCAGCAGATGACTGCCTAACTCACATCATTGTTAAGATTAGATTAAGAGTGCCTTCAGAGTGCTTACCTTTGCGGGCAGCTATGCTAAACTGAGGATTACCATTAGCTGATGTTCCAGGTCTTGACTTGTAGGAGAAAAGGAAAATCCTATGGAGGAGGGTCTCTGACGGCTTTGAAGGAGGCAATGAATGGCCACATGTCCCCTGAGGACAGCCCAGGCTAAAGGCTCAGCTTGAAGAAACGCACAGAGGTGGCAAGGCCAGCTTGGAATTGGTTCTCCCCCTAGGTTGGACAGAATGAAGGTGGGAGAAAAAGTAGGGAAAGTTAGATTGAAATAATTCTTTCAATAGCTTTGAATTCCAAATTGCAGAGTTTGTACTTGCATCAGCAGGTGGTGGGGAGCCACTGAAGGTCTTTGAGCTGTGTTTTGTGACAGTTAAAATGGCAGTCTGGGTAAGATGGGTTGAAGAAGAAAGAAACTAGAGTTGGGAGAAGATTGTTACAAGAATCCAGAAGAAAATAAGTGACATGAGCCCAACTAAGTTAGTGGTCATCAGAACAGAAAGGATGTTAGTAATGGAAGAAATATTTCCATGGTAGAATGAACAGCCCTTAGAAAAATAATCATACTTTTTTTTTTTTTTAATTTTTAGTGTTTATTTTTTTGTAGAGGTTTGAGTATGTGGGGAGATGTCAGTGGATCAGAAAAGTATGAAATAAAGAGACTGAGGGAGAGCTCTGGAGTATTTATGCCAAGTCCCAACTCCCCACTTCTTTCCTTTGCAGGATTTGGGGTTACTGGAGATGTTTTTTTTTGTCAAGCAAATACTTACTTATTTTAATTAATGTACATTTTATTTACTATTTACTTTTTCATTTATTTACTATTTTCTTTCTAGTGGCTTGTTAGTTTAAAAAAAGAAATAAGGTTTTTTTTTTTTTTTCGAACTGGAAATATTTAAAGAATGCTCTCTGTTTGTCTTTCGGTATATTCTGGCGAGGTGACTTTAGGCCGTAACGACTTGTGTGTTTGGGTCATGTTCCACCACAGGGCTTTCGGGCTTTGACTTGTTTATTTGGAATACGGAGGAGACATTGTAGAGACCACTTAATTCTCAGGAGCTATTCAAAAGCAGCCAAACACATTTTAAGGAAAAAAAAATTATATTCTCAAAAAAAAAAAGATTTCTTTTTAGACACTGTAAATCATTAGAATATTCAAGAAGTTTTAGAAGTTTGTTTATGGGCAAAAGGTCCTAAAGGGAGCATTCCCATAGGCTGTATATGGACCACAGGCTCAACTCCACAACTGGTAAACTGACATTGCAGCTAAGCTGGTCAAAGAGAGGACATATCTCTTCCTTTAAAGATCAAAATTAAGTTATTTTCAGCAATATTTTTGTGTGTGTGATTACAAAAGACATGACTTCATGTTGTCAAATAAATCAAACAATACACAGGTAGACAGTATAATACAGGCATTTGGAGGACAAATTATAGTGTCAGGATACCTGGGTTTCCATCTCTGCAATTTTCTTGTTCTGTGGCCCTGGGCACACAGTTTCTCCAAGCTTTTTTCCTTACAGTAACATAAGAAAGAAAACAGAAATTAACTCATAGGATTGTGATCATTAAGTGAGAGGACATATGTAAACTCATGGAAACTTGTCCAACATGCCTTATTTTGTTGTTGTTCTATTTTGTTTCGTTTTCAGCTTTTAGCAGGCTGAAGCCAAGTTTTTTAGTTTCTGTCACTAGCAATAAATGGAAAAGTGGGATGGGTCAGCAGTAGAAAAAAAAAAAAAAAAAAGCCAAGCTATCCAATTTGAAAATTCACAAAATATATGAATAAACATTTCACTGAAGAGGGTGTATGGATGGCAAATAAACATGTGAAAAGATGTTGATCATCAATAGCCCTTGGGTAAGTACAAATTAAAACCACAGTGAAATATCATTACACACCCATCAGAATGGCTAAGATAACATATAGGGACAACACCAAAAGCTAGTGAGCAGGAAGAGAAACTGGATCACTGATACATTTCTGGTGGGAATGTAACATGACCATGCCATTCTGAAAAGCAGTTTGGGAATTTCTTATACAACTTACTATGCAATTGTCATATGACCCTGCCATTATTCTCTGGGATATTTATACTAGAAAAATGAAAATGTATGTTTACACAAAAACCTAACACATGAATATTCAAAACAACTTTATTCAAAATAGCCCCAAACCAGAAGTAACCCAGATGTCATTCAGCAAGTGAATGGTTAAACAAACTGTGGTACATCCATAGCATGGAGTACTACTCAGCAATAAAAAGGTATGAGCTATGGATACACGCAACGACTTGGATGAATCCAGATAATGATGCTAAGTGAAAAAGCAGTCAATTCTGAAATAATACATATTCTACAATTCCATTGATGTAGATTTCTTAAAGTAAGAAAATTGTAGAAATAGAAAACAGATTAATGGCTGGCAGGGGTTAGGGATGGGTCAGGGAGGAGGGTTACAAAAAGGCACCCAAGGCATTCTTGTGGTGATGGAACTCCTCTACCTTGACCATGGTGCTGGATGCTGGAACCTACCTGTAAGATAGGTTGCATAAAACAAATAAGCAAAACAAGGGCTATCTGGGAATCAATGAATTGTATCAATGTCTATATCCTGTTGTGATTTGACCTTATAATTTTGCAAGAAGTTACCATTGGGGAAAATGAGGTAAACTCTAAAAGGAAACTCTTTGCATTATTTCTTACAACTGTTTGTGAATCTACAGTTTTCTCAAAATAAAAAAGTCTTTAATTTAAAAAAGGAATATTGTAAGTTGTTAACAAAACAAAACTGAATGGGTTAACCAAGGGTTTGACTCAGTCAACTTGCTGCACTATTTGTTTATTTAGGTGCTCACTAGCCAAGCACTGACTGGCCAAATTCCACCTCCTTTCTTATGAATGAGTCCAGTGAGTTGTTCAGTGGCAACACAGCCTAAATGTAGGAGATAGAAATGCTATGTGAGGAAACAGGGTTAAAGGTCTGGGCCAGAGTTGTGCACTCAGCAAGTTTATTTATTAGGGACCTCTTTGCACCTCCATCGGGAATGGTAATCAAGTATGAAGACTTAGTCTTTAGTACCTTCTTCGGGAACATCACTCTGGGTTCTGGATGGCCTTTACAAGAATAGTCAAGACTTGAGCAACTCACATCTGCTTGGGAAATTCAAGCTTATTACCTCTAACTGGGGAGGCAGCAATGACTGTCATGGAAGAAGGAGACCTCAATTTAAGCAAACAGCTGTCTTTCCTTGACTACAGAAGGGTAAACAGGGCTCAAGTTGGCCCTTAGCGTACTGATCCATGGAAACATAGCTTAAACAGATTCTCTCATTGAGCACAGTGAGAAAAACACTCCATGGCAGTTTCTGACCCTGTGCAGGTAACGCACGGAGGCAAAGAAATTCATTTTGTTTTGCTGGGGCCAGGCAAGACAAAGGGGCCCCATGCTTTAGTACCCTGCATTTTAGCCGTTTCCCAGGGGCTGCCTATGCACGGCTGCTCTCTCTTTTTAGGAAAGCTATTTGGAGCCCCGTCCTGGCAGGGTTTGTGGTTTGTCCAGAGGAATCGCCTGTATCCTGTTCTTACCCAATTATCTGCTACTCAACTGGTGGACCCTCCAGTCAATTTCCCTTGGCACTGTGGGGTAGCTTAGTATTAAAATTCCACAGATTTTTCTCCTGGTCTTTGCAGTGGGGAGGACTCGATTGCAGCACTGCAGGGCTGTGCAAGCTCGCTCACTGGCGACAGTCAGCTGTGATTTTCCATCAGCTGCATCTCATTATCCCGTCAGGGCTCCCTCCTGCCTATCGATGAGAAACAATGTGTAATCACTCCCAACTGATTGCAAATCACTCTGCACTCCTGTGTGAACCTTGGCCCACGACCACATGGCTCAGCCTGCCAAATGGTCCCTAGGCTGGGTCTGTGGAGCCCGCACTGCTTTCACAGAGGGGGCTCCAGGAGCTTGGATCACAAAGGCCATGCTTTCTTCTTGGGATGGAGTGGGAGAGAAGGGGCTATGTTAAAGAGGGGTATTGGCTAGTCACGTATTGGCTAGTCACAAACCCCAGAGAACTACAGGGTCAGATTCAGAATAGCTATCTCACAGAACTAATTTTCAAGATGGAGAAATGGCCATGCCTCTTCCTTTTATGGAGTCTAAAATCAACCAGTTGTTGGTGGTATAGACTCGAATTTTTCTGATAGGAACAGTAAAGCATACTGGTTATAGGACTCAGACACTGAAGGCACACAGATCCAATTCAAGTCCTGATTCTGATAGTTACTGCCTGACACTGGACCAGTTGCTTAATGTCTATGTCTGAGCTTTGGTTTTCCTATCTGTAAAATGGGAAAAATATCAGTACCATGCATTTAGAGATGTTTTAATGATTAAATGAGATAATAAATGCAAAATCTTTAGGACCCACTGAATACCAATTATTGATGTTAGTAATACAATTTAAAATTGTGGAAGATGCTTATTACCTAGTAACAGATATCAGTACCCATTCTGTATCCTCTTTCTACCGAAAGCATTGGGGAAACAAAGATTCAAAGGCTCTTAGGGCCCCAGTTGTCTGTTGATGCTTTCCAGGGAAGAGTGGCTAGGTCTTTGGGGAAGTTCCTGTAATGAACAATCAATGCCTGGACAAAAGTCCCCTTGAGTAGTGAAGTCATTAATGAAGACAACGGAATAGGAAGGTCATGATAATGCAGTGTAGACAGTAAGTTGTGTGGATGGTTGGAGCAGATTCAGTGCTCAGTGTCTAGGCTGTTCGTTGGGTAGATGGCTTTGTTTCTCATTTTGTATTTATCCTTATCATAACAAGGGAGAATTTTCTTTGGGGCTCTAATCTCCTGAAATGTTTGTACTTCTCCTGAAAAGCCCTTTGATTTTGCCTGTTGGATGTTGCAAATCTTGGGATTGGCCATGCTTGCCTCTTTGTTTTGACTTCAGGGAAGTTCAGAGCCACATGTCACTGAGCAAGCATGGGTCACACCATGGTACATTATGCATTTTTATCGCTTACCTGGTGCATGTTGGTTTTGCTGGTCATGGTTCAAATGTTTTTGTTTTGTGTTTGGGTGTGGTGGTGTTGGGTGAAATTCAGAGTGCATGGATGCCTGTGGCTCCAGGTTTCTCCACATCATACCTAGTACAAATGGCTTGACACTTAATACAAGAAAACTCCAGAGGATATCAGCCAGTCAAG